AAACGTTTGATCAAGCCAAAAACCGAAAGAACTGTCAAAAATTTGGAAACCCATTTCTTACAGTCGCTCGCTTATCACTGGAGGATTCAACAAATCTTGGGCCATGAATGACGAGGCGATGAACGGAGAGGAGAAGGCGGTGAATGGAGAGGAGAAGGCGGTGAACGAAAGAGGAGGGTAAGGCGTGATATGGAGACACCTACGTCCGTCTGTCTCCCTTCCAAGGCCCCTGTTTTTGCGAAATGAAAGTGAAGAGATGGAAGTTAGGGGGTGTTCTGACGGTTTTACCCTTTTGTTTGGAAAATAAAAATCATTTTTTAATGGATTTAACGGTACATTCTAACTGGAATTGGACGGAAGGACGTTTTGCGCAAGAAAATGCAAAGGTAGGGACGTCCATCACCAAAAAATCAAATGTATGGACGTTTTCTACAAAACCTGTCATAGGTAGGGACGTTTTGCGTCAATTACCCAAATTTTTTTATCTTCAAACTTGCTTAGATAAACAAAATTTCCTGCCTTCAAACGACATATTCCTTTTTTAAAATTAACTCTTACATTTCTATCAAAACAAATAATTTATTCACTCGTACATAAAAATCCAATAAATAAATAAATTTATCCAAAATTTTCCAAATTATCGAACTTAATGATAAGAGCTCTCATTTAGCTCATGTTTGCTTTAGATAAAAAATCAATTTTTTTAGTAAAATTTGATAAAATATATGGTTAAAAAACTATAAAATCTAGGGCTGTCCGTGGGTCGATTCGGTTCGGTTCTGAAGATACCTGAACCGACCCAAAACTTTCGGGTATTTAATAAATGGACCCTTCGGGTCCAAATATAATTATGGAACCGTTCGGGTTCGGTTCGGTTCCGTTCGATTCCGTACTATGATCAAATTTTTTAATATTTACAGCAACACTACATAAATACAATTAATGACATTTCATTCGTAACTTTTACAAATTAACATAGCACAATTCAAAAACATATAAATAACTAGCTGTCCAATAAGATTAATTCAGTGTATACAAATACCAAAAAGTAGATATTAATATTACAGCAAAATTACATAAAGTATATTCATTTGTTTCAAATTAAAATAGGTTAATGGGTTTTAAAAATGATTTGGACTTTAAAATTAAAATTATGAAATAATCTGATTTATTTAATTAATTTGCTAATTTGTATTAAAAAAATAAAATAATTTAATTAATTCAATATAAAAAATAAAAAAATTATTTAGTTTCGGTTCTTATTCGGTTCTTCGGTTCTTGGTCTAGACCCGAGACCCGACCCAAATCCATCGGTTCTCGATTCGGGTACCCGTTCGGGTATTTAATTTATGAAGAACCGTTCGATTCGGTTCGGTTCGGTTCNGAGCCTCTGCCGGAGCCTTAGTAGGTCGAGCCGTTCGAATTTTTTTTTTTAATGTCAAATCTATATTTTTACTTAAAAAATTGAAATTTTGAATGGTTTATACATACTATAAATTAAATAAAAAAGCTCGGGCTTGACTTGAGCTTTTTGAAGCCAAGTTTTTTTTGGCCCGAGCCGAGCCGAGCAGAGCTGAGCTGAGCTGAGCCGAGCAAAGCTTAGCTTGGCCAAAAAAATGAGGCTCGGTGTAACCAAGCCCGAGCTGGGCTCGACTCGAGCTTTTTCGGAGCCGAGCTGAGCCCGAGCCGCCCTAACCGACGATCTTTTTTGTCATCCCTACTTAGACGTGTATGTATATGTATGTACATGTACACACATACGAGATTGAAACTTAAGTATGACTATTAACGACACTGACAGATAAATCATTTCTCTACAAGACAAAATCTTAACTTGACTTTTTCGAGTCAAATAACTTTTCCATCCTAATGTATCCTCGTCTTTTTAAAACAACAAACTCTTTCTGTCCAGCGCAAGCACGAGCGCACTCTTTTGAGTAGATTATGTCCCCAACATTGTGCTATAAAAGTAACTAGTACTTCAATGTCAAATTAAGTAACTTATTTTAGGTCACGTTTGATGGAGATTAAAATCAGATTTTTAGTAGATTTTGATAAAATGGATGAAATATATGGTTGAAAAGTTGTGAATCCCATAAAATATGTGGCTAAAATTAATATTTGACTTTGATTTAAATTAAAATCTAAATTTTAATTCGTACCAAACGGGGGCTTAATCTTAGCAAGCATGCAAAGGGAGTCTTTTAATTACAGCTACCTTCTGTGCAATCTTTTTACCGTTCTCATTCTCTGTTTCATGCAACTAGGATCTTCTGCGATCAATTAAGCAGGTATTATAATAATGGTTATAAAACTGGAACGCAAGAGACTTAGTTCAGAGGAAGACATATTGTTCCCTAGTTATCTGTTATGTAAGCTTCATCTCCAAACTTTATCCCCCATAAACTCGAGTGCTGGAAATTCTGAGTTGATTGGATTACTCTCAATGTCTTTTCTTTTTATAAATCCAAACTGAAAATTCTCATTGAGTTAGTTCACTGCAAACAGCGAATGACACGAAAGATGGTAAACAATGAAGCCGAAAAAGACTCCTCGGCCTTACAAGCATGAGCGGTGAGCTCGTGGCCGCTATGTTCCCCCAAGGGACATAGCGACAAGGACCACTACGCAAAGCTGAAAACAATTAAGCAATATCAGACAAAGAAAAACCTCAGTTCTAATTAGTTCTTAAATTCCATAGAATCTGAAAGTCTTGTTCCCATTTTATTTTTGTATAAAACTTAAATCGAAGGGAACCAATATTCTGTCTAACAGCATAAAAATATCGTCAAAACGATTTTAATCTAATCTGAAAATTATATAAAATCCAAATTACTCTCTGTTTTTCTTAATTTACGTTTTTAATATTCTGTCATTAATCCTTAGAGAATCAGCTTCGATTTCTCTGTTTGTTTTATACCATGTTCTTTCTTTATTTGAAATGGTGTGGGCGAATTCGTTTTTCAATTTGGAACTATGTAGTTGGTCCATTCCAAGAAATCGGAAGGAAGAAAAATTATTGTCAAGTATGTAGGATTTTGAAGTGCTAGAACATTCTGAACTGTGCAACCTCTTCTTGCTCTGATAAAATCCCATGTTGTTTCTTTTACTGTCTAATATGTTCATATGGCGTCACATGCAGGAAGATGTCATGCATATGGTGGAAAGATTTCTTGAATATGTCATCAAGAATCACCATGTCAGTAATGAATCACCAACCATCATTATATCTCTAGTTAGTGTTTATAAGGGTGTGTTTGATGGATATTATTGAGGAAAAAATGTATTTTAAATAGTGATACAATGAGAAATATACAGTTAAAAAGTAAGAAAAAATTATTGATGTGATTGAAAATATTATTTTATTTAAAAATGTATGGTTAAAAATGAATGTATTTTTAAAGAATGTGTGTCAAACATGGGACTTAGTATATTCCTGTTTGCATGCTAAGTGTGTAAAATCCACGTCTCACAATGTTAGTTTAGTTTACAGATAAGTTTTCTCTGTGATTGTTAATTTTGAGAACCTCCCTGTATAAACTTAATGTTACATACCACGACTATTGGCCTGCGCCGAAACGTTGAAACATCAATGTAGCGTGCGTGTGGGTGGTGCTGGTGGTTGGGTGTGGGGGGTATTCGCACTTTAGTTGTAAGAGGTTAGGGCATGCCTCTTGACTTGTTCTTTTCTCTAATCTCCAAGTTATTCCTTGTAAAATTGAATGTGTTCTGTCCGAGGCCCAATTAAATTGGGACGTCATGGGATATCTAGATGATTATTAACTGGAGGGGGAACTTCCCAGAAAAACACATTATATGTCAGTTTTGAGTATCATTGCCCGACATCTCAGGTGTCATGTTCGTGTTTTGCAATCCCAACACACTGGCAACACATTACAAAAATTAGGGAAATTAAAACCTAGCAAATATTTTAAAGATTTATTTTGTTTATCTAAAAAAGCTCCGACACAGGAAAGTCGTCACTGATTTTACAGAAAAAGTAGGCATCTGATAGGTTTGGCCATGAAATATGTAGTAACAGACCCCGCAAGCTGTGAGTATGAATATTAGTCTGCTATGGCAGTACTATAATTTTAAATACTAATTAATGCATATAAACGACAAAGACTATAAAAGGCTTGCTCTTGAATGCCAAATGCTATGCTGGGTTTTAAAGCTATACAAGTTTTCGGTGCGTATGATAATTGTAAATGTCACGGTGGATCACCAATTGCAGTAGTAAAGAATAAATTTTCCGACTTCGTGAAATAAATATCATCTTAAACACATTTGAGTGGACTTGCAGTTCCAACTTTTCTTTCTTGACGCACTGACTTGTTTGATTATCACCAATTATTAACTGTGTTGGATTAGTTTGAAGCAATTCTCTTTTTCTGTGAAGGCATATGAATGTTCATTTCTTAGCAAATTTTTTAGCATCTAGAAACTTGAAATAATTTTTTTTTTCAACTTTATATACCGACTCCAGAACCAGGTGCCCACCATCATGTGCAAGATTCCTTGTTGCTATCTAGCTTAGGTTTTAGGTCGATTGAATTGCATTCTAGTTTTAGTCAATATCATTACATTTCTTTTATAAAACTTTAATGGTCTATAAAATTGTTCGAATTATGTAAGTGATGCAGTTTTTTATGCACTTGGGGTCTAAAACTTTGGTCTCATTCCATTTGCAGCCATGTCTTCCAGTTTCATGCAGCAGCTGCAGCAGTTATCAATGCCACGCCCTGTGAGACACCCAATGTCTTCAGTTTAGCAACCTCAGTCTACGGTTCCAACTGTACAGGCTTCACAACAGCTACCACTGCGACTTTCTACTGCACCAGCTCCGGTCTTTGTTTCTTCTTCGAGTTGCCTACCTTGGACTATGGCTCCAACTGTACAAGCTACACATCAGCCATTGCTGCCACATTCGATAGGACCTGCCTCTGGCTTTTCTTCGAGCCGGCATAATCCCACACCAGCTGTACAAACTGTACACGATGCATAAGCTATTTTCTCAGGAGCACCGACCAGACCCCCACACACAAGTGCCATCGCACCTTCCATGTGTAATCTGCACATTGGAGAGGTCCGTTCTCTGGCCCCACATCTTCAACCTTTCTGGCCCTCCACGTCCGCATCTACAGCCAGTCTCCCTTCGCATGGTATGCCTAGTCAGCAGGCTACAACTACCCGTCCTGCAACTTCTCCATCATTTTCTCAGCACACGCCTCAACAAACACCACATTCTTAGGTGCCATCACTGTCGCTACTGCCACAATAGCTGCCATTGCCACCAAATAATCTCGTTTCTTATAATAGACCTCTGCCTGAAAGTAGACCTCCAGCTCCTCATAACTCGTCTCAATCTGCCCTTCAGTTGCTTATGGACATGGATCACCAATCTCCTGTACATGGACGTTCTACCTTTGCATCTATACAAGATGTCGTTACTCCTTTTGGATCATTGGAGCTGTCTGACCTTGAAACTCTTGGTAATGTACAGTGTAGCCTTACCTCTTCAGTTCCTACAACAGATGTCGTTTATTTGTCTGATGATGACTGATGTTTCAGAGAACTATACCACGGCCAACTTCATGTAGAAGGGATTTTACAATGCTAACCTGGAAGGGAAAGATCATTTTGAAGCGGAATGTTCGAATCAAACTGCGGGGATACGAGTTGTTTTCATTGATCATAACCAAACTACTACTTTCTATGTGGGGTTATTGATTCGCGCTTGTATCTCTTGTTTTTGATTGGATAATTTTTCCGCATAATATTTATTTATGGTCATATCTGCTAATATTATGCTTCAGAAAATTCTTTTTTGGTCGAACTGAAAGGCCTACATCGCTGGTATGACTTGTGGCCTCTCAATCAGGCTTTTCAAGTGACTTTTTTTTTTGGGTAATTCTGTTTGTTTTGAAACTTTTCGAAAATTGGCAGTTGAATTGGTCCGACCAAGAAACCGGGAATCCATGTCTTGGTTGGTCGATTTGTTCACGAGATTCACTAGCCTTCATGCCTAAGAAGAGTATAGAGAAAATAAGAGTAAAAAAGAAATTCATATTCTTTATGTCTCATTCTGTTTTGGTGCAGAATCTAACGTAGGTTACACAATTTGCCTCACGCCAAACACCAACTGCGTTTTGAAGAAGAAAAGGAGGAAGTGTAGTTAAATATTAACTGAAAATGCACCTAATGCGTTTATGCACAACAACTGAACATTTATTCGTGGAAATCTGTACCTTTACTACAAATTTATGTGCTAATCATCTACTGAACATTATGAATAAATGTCATGTTTGGAATATGAAACGTTGCCCCAAGGGGACGAAAAGAAAAGGAAGAAAACAGAGCAATGTACAAGATATGAGGGGAGAGCAAAGCATCACAATTGATTCTTTCAATGGTGTGCAATGTATGTCTTGTCTGCAAGGTCAAGACGATCCTGAAACATCGCCCACTCATTCCTGCATCTCTCTCGTACCTATGCAAGGAAAAGTAACAAATCAAGTTGGTCGTAATTTTATCAACGAGATGCCATTATAAATAAGCATGTATTTAATCAATTGACACTGTAAACTTAGGGCGAAGGCTGTTAAGAAAAGAGAAGCCGAAACTCACTAGGTATCATAGGTTATCACTTTGCTGAACTATAAACAGTCCTACCATCAGCAACTCCATATTTATAATTTTGAAATTTTTGGAAGGTTAGTAACACTGTTGTTGACTCAACTTATAGTGAAATTCGCGTTAGTCATTAGACTTTTTGTTGCAAAGTGATCACTAAAGTTCGTTTTTGTTCCTGTTAGGTTACTCGCTTAAATTCTGTTAGGTTTTCGAAAGAATGTCTGACGTGGAAGACGGCAACCTGATAAGTTCATTTAGAAAAACCTAGAGGATTTTAACTAACTAACTAACAGTGACCACTTTGAAACAAAATAAAGTTTCGCAACTAACATGAAAGTTCCCTACAAGTAGTTGGAAGATAGTGGACAAATGAGATCATGTGGCTGAAACAGAGTGATAGAAAGAAGAGATACAATTTCATGCAAATATCGGTATGGAATCAGTTCAAACCAAATAACTCGTGGATGAAGATGTACATACCCCTTCCCATGGAGATATCCCATTCTCAGACTGACCCTGAGTGTTCAGTAAGAAGTTATGGAATTAGTGATGTTCACAGTACCAAGTGTTGCTCCAAGAAAGAAACAATAGAGATGGGCAAAACAAGCACGCTAAAAAGAGGCAAGAAATAAACACAATGCTAACTTCACAATATGGAAGTATGAACTATAGGCTGGTTATATCCGTCCCTCTCCAACGAGGGATGTAAAATAGTGAAAGCCAATTGAAAATGTACATACAATTTGATAAGTGTAAACCACAAGAAAGGATGAAAACGACCATATAGGTGTGATACAACAGTAACGAAAATGCTTGAGAGAAAACACCGAGCTTTGGAGCCACAGTACTTACTGGGGCAGAATCCCCGCCAAGAAGGGATGATATCGTGGTTTCTTTATACTATATTCGTTAAAATGTTGTATGTGAAGGGAAAAAAATGAACAACACAGTAAGAAAAAGTATGACTACTGTTTGAAGAGTGCTAAAATGTAAGAAGACAAGAAATTGGAAAAAAGCAAATGCCCTTAACAACCCATTGTTCATCGTCCTTATTCCTTCTTAAAAGTAAAAAGATAATATGCCCAGCTTTTTCTTCAACTCCTGAATGCAGGACACATAGTTACCTTTCTCGACATGTATCTTTTTAGTTGAAGTCAACTTGTGATAGAATTGATTCTATCATGAGTAGTAATCCTATCATGGATTTTCATAGAAATTTACTAAAAAAAGCAGGAAAGAGAAACTTCTTGACCAATGTAGAATAGTTGTGGAACGGTATATACTATTAGCAAATGAACTAACTCAGTAGCTACTTTTACATCCCTTCTTCCAATATCACCCTCGACTTCGAAAATGATTTCAGTAGTCCTCATGCACTGCACTGGTCTTGAACTCAAATACAATCCATGGCTCTCAGTGGAATGATGAGATGGAAATGATCCTTATCAAAGGACCTCAATCAACGCCGTTAAAATCTTTTTTATTCCAAAAGGAGGATCAATTCTTGAAAATTATCGTTAAATCATATCCCCAAATACAGAAAACATGGAAAATATATGAAGGAAATTTCTGTAAAGCATTGTGCATACTTCTTTATGATTTTTTTATTTTTATTTTTTTTCAATTTATTCCCGGATTCTTCTTTTTCCTTTTGTTCTTAGGGGAGGAGGTGAGGGCAGCTGGAAGTTGCTTCTGGACATGAAATTTACTCATATAACGGAGACAGATCAGCAAAAACAAGATAAACTAGGCAAATTGCAACTTTGCAATATCTGACCTGATTTCCAAGAGATGGTACTACTTGGTGCACAACCCATTGCGAATCAACCACACCAATTTTTTCATGTGCAGGCTGCAGAAAGCATAAAAAATTTAAAAGATTTTCCCAATTATAGATATTGTGATGCTGAAGAGACTTGAGAAATTTAAAAAGTGAAGGGGTAGCTCTCAATATGGAAAAAGCAGCATGAAAACTTGGGAGTTGGGAACCCAAGATAAGTGCCCAGGAAACATTTATTTTCTTTAGTTTCATTTGGTTTGTATCTTCTAATGTTTTATGCAATGCAATACTGCTCAGTTTCTTTCTTCTTTTGGCACATCCAAAAATAAGGGTTTTTTTTTGAGAGTCACCAACCTCTACACATCTTCTTAGGGCAAAATCCAATCCCCATCCATGTACGAGATCATTCTGCAAGCATATTATGAGTAAGGTGGCATTAACAAAACTATAAACAGAAATAGAATAATTCATGGAAGAATTAATTAAATACAAACATATCAAGATAACTAGAATTCACCTGAATCATATGCCAAACACATCTCCAAGCTTCACGAGAAAATACTGGAGCCATAATTTCAACAAAGCTGAATGCAAGCAGAACCACAATGTAAATTCTCTGTCCTTTCGCATTTCCTATTTCAATATTGTTCTTTGTACAGCAGAATTGTTGATTTTGATTTCATAGTCAATATTCTTAACTAGACTTATCGTCTTTCTACATTATTATGTGTGTTAATTACCATGTATTTTTTCTATCTCCCTTCTGAGCTTACCGTAAATTATAATCGAGATCATTAATAAATCTATCTTCTAAGGGTGCAATTTCAATCACCAACAGACATTTCAATCTCTTCTTGCCTTATCATAAGCATGTCTCTATCTTAAGATTCTTATATTTTGTCAAGATATGCATACAGGTAAGTCAAATGGAGACAGAGAGAGGATATACGCTGCACATGGAGGGAAACGTGGATCGCTGCACCAGCCTGGTTTCTCTTCCGTGTCCCTGTTTAGCACATCCAAACACACCTACATTTTTAAAATGTTCACAGAAACTTAAACAGGTATTAGACAATTTTAATTCCTCCCGTTTTTCTTTTGACTTTGCTCAAGGGAAGGAGGCGATTAAACTTACTTGTGAACTTCTCTATCATCTCTCCTCTTTGTCATTTCCCATGTTAGTCCATCATTGGGTTCAAGACCAGGTTGGGAAATATCTAAACAGTGTTTCTTAACTAGTTGAATATACCTGCCATATACAAGGCCAGATCAATTGAGAACCAAAAGAGCATCACAGAACATATTGGAATATTATCAGGAATTAAGAAATGATTGTTACTTCTCAGCATTGAAATGCTCAGTACCCAGATCTTCATCCCAGATAAAAATGTAATCATAAGCTGCAACAATATCAGGATGTAGAAATCTCTTCGCATACCACCTAAAAGGAACCCAACGATGAAGAATAGTCATGAAATGTAAAGAATAATCTACATTACTCGAAAGTTTTATAATCCACTCAATGTCGACACTTGTGGTTAGCATGATCAGGCATAGATTAATCAAAGATCTTAAAGCAAACATAGAACTGGAGAACTTCACCATTTTGTTTGTTTCCTAACACTGACATGTATTGCACGCTGTGACCATTCAAACTGATCCCACTCACTTGTCCGGCCGTCATAGTGAAAAAGCATAATTTGAAAATCCTCAGGAAACTACAATGAAATAATAAATTAATCTCAGCACAACAGAACTCTATTGTGTACGTTTATTTATAAATATCAAGAAATATTATAAACTGCCCAAACCTTCTTAGCTGCCGCATCAATATTGCTCTTCTGATCCAAACCGACCGTAAATGTTACTAGATACTTTGGCTTCCTTTTTAGATCCTGAATGTTCCAAAAAATGCATTTTTATAAGCAACTCCAATTACAGCAAATCACATAGAATGATAAAGTCTGTTTCTGAGTTCATTTAGTCGTCTATATCTTCTTTGATTATGCTGAACATACAGTATCAGTAATGCCTTGCTCATCCTTATTGTCACATAAACCAATATGCCCCTGCTGGATCTTAGCATCTCAAGTGTAAATGCATCACAAGTAAATCTGGTAACTTCAACAGTAAACAAGAATATTGCTAAGTCTGAATACCGTCAGGGACTGAAGTTACCATCAAAGGAGAGGGGAGAAAAACTACTTATAATCCCATAAATATTGTGACTTTCACATTCTTTATACCTGACTAGGTTCACCCCATAGTCTTCGTGGATAAAAATCTGCCTCTGAAACTACAATTCCTTCTGGCAAAGCCTCGGCACCACGAGGATTTGTAGGAACATAGATCTGATAAGCCAAAAGTCATGAATAAATCATTAGCTAACATCATATCTTAAACTTCCATAGAACCAGAATGTAGCATAGCAGAAAATTCAAGAAAGCCATTGCTTTCTATCTGATTACTAACCTGGGTAGATAACAAAGATAAAGACACATTCAGTAAGTTCCAGTAATTTGGAGAGTTGTGCAATAAGCAAGTTTGTTGAAGAGACTAAAGGGTTACGCAAAAGAAATATGGGGAGGGGTTGGCTTTGCGCTAACACCCAGAGGAAAGCTGACACACTATCAAAATGACCTCTTAAAGTTTCCTTTAGGCGTACAGCCCCTAACTAAAAAATCCACATATTCGCGCAGAACAGAAAGTCAAATCTTGTATTTGCCAAAAATGATATCAACACAATCCAACCGCAGGAAGAGGAGAGCATCCAAAAGCACATAATAGAATGCCAATCTAAGATAATGTCTTTTCAATTTTCAGGAGATTCCACGTATAGAGTAGAAACCAGGGAGTCTGAAATGGAAATATATCAGCAAACTCTTCTAATTCCACAAACAACAAGCTAGTCATTATTCCCAATAAAATTTGGAGTGCTACATGAATCTGTTTTCTCACTCCACTGGTCATTGCTTGATCTTCTAGAAGATCCAAATCAACTAGATTCTTCATTCTTCACGGTCACGTAGACTCAGTTAGTTTTGTTTATCCACCGATTCCCCACATTTATTGATTTGCAACATTATTTTCCATCTTATCTACAACCGGGTGTTGTATCATAAGCATATTTACCTTCTTGTTGATAACAATTACCAATTGCTCGTGGACGAACAATTCAATCAACGATTGCTGGTCTTCAAAGTGAAAGATTCAAGACCTCAATTAAGCAATATTAAAACTTAAAGGAACACTTACAAGACATTTTTTAGTAAAACCATGTTGATGAACAATTTAATTAATGATTGATGGTCCTCGAAGTGAAAAAGAGAGATTCAACGCTTCAATGAAGTAATACCACAATTTAAAGGAACGCTCTCAGTCAAAAGAAGTACCTTTGGCATTGAAGGAGTTCTACCCAAACCAAAACCATGATTCTCATCATCCAATGCTACGTCCAGAGATGTTAAAGCTCCTGAAGGTAAATTAATCTGCCAAAAACAAGATAGGGTGAAACGTATAGATGATAATTATCATCCCTCGAGCAAGTCTAACTCACAATTTAAGCCTATATACCTTTGTTAAAGAAGCAGATGGAAATGAAACACCAATAAAATATCCAAACACCATGCCCATAATAGTTGTTATTACAAGTCTTGCACTAGGATTAGCATTTGACTTCTTAAACATACCACTGTAGATGAAAGAAAATGCAACTATAAGCATACGACCAACAGAGCCAATATTTCATTTCCAACGCAGATGATCAAATTATAAGACAACTAAAGAATGGAGAACGCAAAACCTGCGGTGAAAGGTTCTCATTGTGATAAAAAGCTGCCCAACCTAAAGGTCACGCATTAGACAGAGACTGGTTTTGTGAGCTACTCTTGAATTCTATATAGCCAGCCATCTACCACTTATGAAAAAGAATTTGCACTTTCACAGAGTAAAAATCCTGTAAAACACATCCATAGGCAGAATTTCAGCAAATTTGAATAGGAAAAGCCTGGGAGAGTAAATAACCTTGAACATTAATCGCAAGAGTAGTTGAAAAATTCAAGAAACTTAAATTTTTATTTCTCCATTTATTACATGGGAGTAACATAAAGCATAATTTGGCTTCAAACCTTAATCTGTGAGACATCACTAATAAAGCACATGATACAAGTGACTGTTGACATTAACAGAAATTGACAAAGAAATCTAATGCATGCACTCCCAAATTATAAAGTTTTTCACACTTCTGAAATTATAAGAAACTAGTCATTTGAAAAAATAAATACTAAACCTATAGAGAAAAGTGGAATAATGCAAGACTTCTAAATTGTTTAAGTGGCAAAAATCCTATGCCAACAAACAATAATTAATATATAAGATTTCGGACTAATCCTTTAATAATCTCAAATTCATTTTCAATCCCACATTCTCCAATACAATAATTTTGCACATGAACCCCAAAACTTTTTCTTAATTCTCAAACACATCCTCCAGAAAAAAAATACATATATATTTTTCACAAAATATATTGCCAAATAATCTACATGGAAGACACACTGTATAACGATTTGGGTTAAGAGATTATCGTCTTAGGATGGAAGGCAGGCAAAAATAACAATACAAATTTCAATACATTTCTAAAAGACCAACCTTACCAAATGTGAGCAAAACCGAATGATCATGAAAATCTAATTCTGATAGAGCAGAAAATTGGAAGGAAGGGTGCCATCGACTTACAAATTTTACTGCTGCTGCGGCGAACAAAAACTGAAATTATTTGATGAAATTTGAACCAAAAAAATCTCAAATTAACATTTGAGAAAAAATATTAAAGATTTATTTATTTTTTTTTTCGTTTTCTTACCAAATTTTCATTTTAGGAAAAAAAAAAATAGAAATAGCGTTGTGTTTGATTCTAAGTTCTTTACATTTGTGATTTTGAATTAGTTTTATAACTGAATTTGAGATAAGATTGTCCCTTCCATTCATTATACATTTAAGAATTCAGCAATAATATAAATTCGGAAATATTTTCGAACTTTCACAAAATTTTCGGTATTTCTGAATTTCGGCTCAAATTTTTACAATTTATTAATGTATTGCAAATAAAATTATAAACAACTATTTAATTGTCAAACAAAAGAATATTTATTTATTTACACATATTAGAGTGGGAGAGAATTGGTGGAATGAAATAAACAAAATCAAACCATACTATTGAAAAAAAAGTAAAAAGGTAAAAAATGAGTAAATAGTGTAATGAAATTCAGAAAAAATGGAATTGTTTTGCAGATAAATTAAGGATGCCCTAAAGAGCTAGGGCTGTCACACGGGCAATCCCAAGAGCCTTCGACTCTTAGACATTGTAATCTTTTTAACATCGCGAAAGAAGTGAAAGAAGCAATTCATATAAATATTTGGCACCGCTCAAAATGGAATTTCTAGCAGATAAATTAAGGGTGCCTAAAGAACTAGGGCTGTCACATGGGCAATCCCGAAAGCCTTCAACTCTTAGACATTATAATCTTTTTAATATCGCGAAGGATTTGGCGCCGCTCACTAAGTTCTGTGATTACTGATATTTGTAAATCATTGGTTCCTATTTGAAGAAGAATCAATAGATTCTTTAGCCAAAAAGATGTGGCCATAAAAGAGAAAGAGGAATTAAGTAGACCGGAATTGACTGGATGGCAGAGTCGTGAAAATGCTTCTGTCGGTTTTAATAAAAAATGTAACAGATATCTTCTATGTGTGACAACCTTGTGCTTTTAACCTCCTCAAATGAGATCCTTTTGATTCACCTTGTGCATAATGTCAGTGGTAAGTAGCCTTAAACAAAACATCTTAGTATTAGAAATTTCCAATTGTTGTCTTGTTAGTTGTAAAAGTCGAATCTATATAGATGACTAAACAAGAATTTTCAACTCCTTCCAATATTAACCAATAAAAAATATACATATAAACTCAGTCTTGAATATACTCTTGAGAATTTAGAATTTCTTGGTCGTTATAATCCGAGCTGGTTGTTAGCTGTTCAAGATAATTTTAGGCACCTATTCATTCATCATCTACAGAAAAATCAGGTTCGGCGGGTTTCTGCAATGAATTTACTGCACTGGAGTCTGATCCTGAGTGCTTGTGGTGACCTCTTCTATTAGCAGCCAATCTTGCTGCATGAATGGCAAAGCCAGAACCCGGAGGGGCGTTCCCGTCCATTTGTCCGTTCGATGATTCTGTGTCATTGACTAAATTCTCTAAAGCCTGGAGTTCGGCTGCACTCTTCCGTTTCTTGTACCTTCTCCATGCTGCTTGTATAAAACACGCAGCCCACGTTCGCCATTGGTGGGAGTAGAATCTGAACTTGTGCCTTAGTTTTTTGCTGTGTAGTCTTCGAAACTGTGCCGCTACAAACTTTAAGTCTTCTGCTCTGAGAGCAAAAGCCTCGACTTCACATATGGCTTTGACAGTGCGAGTCGAAGAAGGGAGACTGACACTTGGACGCGGGTCAAGAGCCCATGTTAGGAGTTCCTCACCACAGAAGTCACCAGGACCAATCCGGCATGAATTGAAAAACCCCGTACGACCACCATTTGTTGTGTAAGAATCGAGGTTCCCGCGAATTATGAATAGCATTTCGTTAACTGGATCGCCTTCGCGCACTAGACAAGTACCTTGGGTGCATAATGCAGGTTTAAGCCTCTCACATATAGCATCCAGCATTCTTTCATCCATTTGATCAAATAGTGGCACCTGTTAGCATTGTCAAGAAACATGCATAATATTTAGTACAGTTTGCAATATGTCAACAGAACATGTTCTTAAAAGATGATTTTCTTAATAAAAAAAATTAACTTTGAAAATCATGTTTGACAAAATAAGTAGCTTAAAAGTTTGAGCAGTAGAGTGTTTATATTCATGGTTATACTGATCATCATAAATATCGATTAATCTCTCGTGTTTTTAGGAGTTTTTTGAAGTAAGTATTTCAAATGTTTGTTCCATCTGACACTTAATAAAACAATCGAAGAACAAGAATGATATAAGAAGACATTTTAGTTCTTACTCGTCGAACAAGGTCATAACAGAGGTGGCGCTTGATATCTCTTCGAAGATCCAAAGGAAGGCCTTGAAGTAAAGCCTCCTCATCGACTCCTCTTGTAGCCACCCATTTATATTGATCGTACTTACGTACAGACTGCCGTAACTCTTGAGGTAGCTGTCTATGATGCATCCATTGTTCTGTATCAGTTCTCTTAATTCTCCATTCCTCTAATCTAACTGTTGTTGATTGGAGATAAGTCTGCCAATGAATGTAGAATATTGAGTATGATAACACTTTTATAATCCATGCCATAGCAGAAACCGAGCTTGGCAGACAGAAAGATCAGGTGCCAAGAATTAAATGACTGGAACATGCAATGGAGTCATGAAAGTATATTAGTCGACTTACTTGCATATTACCAATGAGCAAGGCAAAGAGAACGAGACCAAGAGTCGCAATTACAATGGCGAAACTTATTTCTCCAACATACGTGGTAGTCGAAAGATTTTGCCCCAGAGAACTGCACATAAGCAAAATATATTTTAATCAAGAAAACTAAAATTTCAGATAATTTTGCAAACATTCATCTGATAAAATGATTGAAACTGGCCTCCATTAATTACAAGTACTTAGCATAAAACACAAAATAAGGTTCATTTCTGAGGGACGCGAATATTCGGGAATCAACAAAAAGTTAGTAGAGAAGCATCTTACCTAAGGTTCTTCAACCCCCACCAGAGACAATAGAAGTACTTGTTGAAAAACAGAGCCGAGGTAACATTGGACGTCACAGCGCCACCAAAAATGCCAAATGGATAAGAGTTACTATCCGGATTGCATTGGTTTGTGACATTGCTTGACTGAAACCAGGCATCTCGACCAGATTCTGTAACCCTGTGGCAATCAAAATATGTATTCTGGCAAGATGGACTCTCGAGACTGCACGTCTGTCTCCAGCATGCTTCCTGCCTTTCGATAGAGAGAAGGTACCAGCAAGCCCCTAAAATCTGGATTCGAAATTGATTTACAAACACGAGTAAACAGAAAAAAAATCTTTTATCTTGTGATTTTTTCAGAAGATTAATTAGGAAACCTAGAGAAAACAGTTTAAACTCGTATTGACTTGATGCAGCAGCTCTTTATAATCTTGCTGTGGCAATATAATTATCTGTTAATAGGGTAGTTTGGCTGCATGACTGCATAGATTCTTCTACGGATTACGACGAGTTCACTTAAACTTTAAGTTGGACTGCGTGAAGTATAATCATACAATAAAGGTTGCCATGATATTCCTACCGGTTAGTTACCTTGTACTCGCCTTCATTATAATGAAAACCTACGGCAGCAAAGTGAACATAGCTCTCACATTGAGTGTCTACCAATATAAATGTGAGTAAGCGCACTTTGCTTCTTTTCTTAATTCTTAATAGATAGGGGAAACCAGAGATATTTCGAGACAAATTCTTGATAGTGAACTTTTACTTACATGGCTTGCCAACATGTAGAGCATCAAATTGTAAGCAGCTCCAGCCCATGCAGTTTGAGTCGCAACTCCGGTAGCCTTGACAATTTGCGATGAAAGTGGAAATATAAGATATAGTCTAGGGAGGTACTGGAATATGATAAAGAACCGGAGGACATTTTTCGTGTTTGCCATAGTCGAGCCGCTCAGGCTAGGTATAATACCCCAAATTAACATCTGAACCGTGATCAAAAGTAAAACTCCTTTAGCATGTTTGTTTACGAGGATTAGATATTAATGGAAAGAATTAAAGACAATTATCTAGTCGACAAACCTGAGGAAGGGGCAGGGCAGCAATGACATCGAGGCAGAAACTTTTCTTCAAGTACCTTATTGCTATCTTCGAGGAATCTATCACGAGCTCTCCTCGTCCAAACACACGAGAAGAAGGAGCAACATATGCTGTACGAAACTTGACAAAAATCTGAACCATGTAAAAGATATCCGCAATTGATCTTATAATTGTGAGGACAAATTCAAGAGTAAATCCAATGTTTATGCAAACATTTTCGTCGACTACTGGCAAGTAAAAGAATAGAGGATCAACAAACAACGATACTAAACAAGCTACTAAGAATATTTTGTTCCACCTACGAATAGTAGGTCCACAAGGATCTAATATCTTTTTCTTCACTCTTTCATAGTCCTCAGAGAATACTCGGGATAATACTTTAGCTTTCAACGATTTTCCACTCTTGACAGCACCCATTTCAACCTTCCTAGAACTCGGCTCTGGAAATCGTGATCCGTCAATCTTGTACTTGAGCTTAATCAAATTATCTCCATTAACTGTTGGCAGATTTGCTAACTCAACATCATCTTGGAATCTGCAAGAAATTTTGTGAATTTTAACGTTTAGGCATTTGATCATAGTATAGTTACCTTATACACATTGAGTAATCGAGACTGAGACAAAAAAAAAATTCAAAAGAGACTAACCTTACAAATTTTGAATTGCTATAAGCCATGATAATCGATCAAATACTCGTTGTGGCTAATAACTCGATCTGTCGAACATGAAAAATCAAGAGTCTGTTACTATCAATCCATACGTCACGAGAAAACGACTGACGATGAATTCATGGCCACCAAAAAAAAGAGAAACAGCTGTGGGTTTTTTTCAGTAGATATCATGTGAAAAAATTAAAAGTCTATCTTCAACTTGAACATGAATATTACAGTCTCTCCTCACCAGAAGTCCAAGTCAAACATGTGACCAACCCTTTTCCAGAATGTCAAGATTTCCAAGTTTAGTTAAAGCACAACCAGTCAACATCCGAGTTCCCTTTTTTTGAGGTCGAACATGTTCGATGTGCAGAACTAGACACGATTGGACACTATAATAACCTATTATCTTCATAAATTAGCCAGTTACATCTTAAACATAAACAGTGGCAGTTACATATTGCAATAAAAAGCAATACATAGAAAGCAATCCAGGAAGAAAAAGGTATTGATCTAATCTAATCAAGTTTGTTTCCCATTCCATTAATGAATTCAAGAAACTACAGAGAGATTGAGATAACTTACAAACAGATATCTGTATGTATATAATATGAAGGTTTAAATCAATCTTCAAACTTTTGGATCCAAAGAAAATGAGAATCAAAATAATCAGGCAAAAAATGGGTTTGATTCAGACAGAGAGGATGCTGAATTGAGGGGGTGGAATTTGACAAAATAAAATAAAATAAAAATCTCCTTGTTCTTGCCACCCCCAGAAGTTTAGTTAGTTATTCATTTATGGGCTTTGCTACAAGTATATCAGGGTGTACATATGGATATCCATAATGGACACCTGGCATCTCCTTATTGGATGGAGTACCAGTGGGGCCGGCACTCCATCCCATAGGGGGTGTCGGGTGTCTATTATGGACACCCTTATGTACACCCCAATGTACAACAAGAATAATCCTTCATTTATTGCTATTTTGTATTTGTTATTTTGTATTATTTGTGTCTGTGTAATATATATACATATATATATATATATGTATGTGTGTGTATGTATGCAACAGAGTACTGTGATTACGTCAAGAGTAGAGAAGTTTGAGAATGGGGTGGATCAAGTTGCAAAAAATAAAGTAGAAAACATTAATTTTTGTAAGATCCGAGGAGTTGACTTAATTGAAATTTGACCAATAATAGTTGGCCACGTCACCCAATTTACTGCAACTTTCCCCATGAAACAAGGGCATCTTTGTAGAAGACTTGCTTCAATAGTTGCACCTATGGTACACGAGAGGTACAAACTTTGTAAGAGATAATTTTATTTTAATTAAAAATATTTATCGAAATTATTTAAAAATAGCTTGCATGAGGTCAAAATTTATAAATCAATTATAAATTGTCAAACTTTAATTTCAATTATACATATTAATGAATTCATAAATACTATCCAAATATTCACGTTTCATTTTTATCTATTTAAAAATTATTTTTTTGTTAATTCTTTCCAAATGACGCTATAAATGCATTATTGTTATATTACTTAAAATAAATAATTTGGAAAAACCTCAACATTTAGATATCTCTCAAAACTAATAATAAATTTATTATCGACACATTCAATCACGACTTTTAATGACATTATATCAGATATGGATAATAACATAAATGATCTAATGAGCACCGGTACTCATTAGATCATTTCTGTGGATAATAATATCAAGAAGATAAAAATTAAATTAAATTCGATTATCGAGCACTGTGATTGAACTCAAGAATCACGTTGAATGAACCAATCAAAATTACGAGAAATCTAAAGATATTTTACATTTCTTTAAAATAAAATATTAGTTGTAGGCCATTGTTTAGCTTGAAAGCCAACATTTTAGGATTTCATTCATACGATGGTATATTTTTTTGCCCAATAGTTGCTACTTATAAACTAAAGAAAAGTATTAAGGGACCCATTAATTATACCAAGGCTTCAATAATCATGTTTAAGTAAATACAATTTTTAAGATGAGACCGGCCGCGGCCGGCCGGCCGGCCGTCTTCAATAAGAAATTAATATGAAAATGTTCCTTTAAAAATTAGACACTACGCACTCGCGACCTTAATAATGAAGATGGGATTTTGAAGACAACGCTAACGAGTGGAATGAAGTCGTGTCAAGGTAGTCTTACTGAAATGTTAAATAGGGAAATTCAAGTTCATAAAAAGCTATGTTCTCTTTATATTTCAGTTTTGGGTTTTTTGTTTTATATTTTGAGTGTTCATTTTGTGATTGTTGAAAATGTGTTTTTTTTTGTTATTTTGAAAAATTGTTTTGAAAATACCCAAAACACGTTTTGAAAATTTTGACTTGATTATAACTAAAAACACCAAGAACTAAAAATTTGTCGTTTCGGGTTTTCTTTGTGAATTTTTAACTTGTTTTCAAAAACGCGTTTTCCAAAATAGGAAAGAGAACGCGTTTTCACTGTTTTGAAAAATCGAAAATAGAAAATGGCTTGAAAATGATAAAGAGAACATATTCTAAATTTTACGACGTTTTCTCGTGAAGATCAAGAGCTTGTTTGGGAGGGATTAAAATCATATTAAAATTGAAAATATAGCCGTTGGAGTTGACTTTTATTAGATGAATGGGATCCAATAACTACTATATTTTCAATTTTAATTGAATTTTAATCTTTTTCAAACAAGCTCCAAATGACGAAAAAAAGATATGTAGCTAATCAAAATGACAGCTAAAAGTAGCAATTTGAAAGAAGTAAAATTTTGTAAGTAACTCAACGAGTACTTTGTAAGACTCATTAAGAGAATACGACAAATCGAAGTCAAAAAGGAAACATGGGCGCCGATCAACATGTATGGTGCAAAATCTGGAGCGGGTGATTTTCCGGGTATTCTAGACTGTGGTGGTGGGGACAAAATTGGAACAACACCTACCCACCCAATTGTCGGAGGACTTGGATTTGGTTGGAAAATGACAACCAGAGTCTACGCCAACCTAAAGATGGGCTGAAGTTAAAGCACCGGGCCCTACTCACTGCTGCAGCCCACGCCCAACGTCAAGAGTCAACCAAATCACCTAAATTATATGGATTGTGCCGTGGATTGGCCCACTACTACAGTCAAGTCATGTCGAGCCTTTGTATGGACGTAGGGTTATGTGACTTGTAAAAAAAGTCTTATTTTCTTAACCAGAAATAAGGAAAATGAGCATGACATAAACCCTGTCACGCATGGGTCTCCTCGGAATCGAGCCAAGTCAAGCAGTTGAGTCGACGCCTCTAATATAATTGAGCTTGTTTAAAAGAAACTCATGTACATCAATCAAATTCAAGAAGTAAAACAACCCATAGGAGATACAAAAAATTTACAAGACTTTAGAACAGGAAAAAAAAAACATGGAATATGAGTTTTCAAATTTATCTCGTGTTGGTGTTGCAGTATCTCTTCCCATACATGCAAAGGCGAAGTTTTTATTAAGTGCTTATAAATTGATCAAATATATTGGGGTGAAAAATAAAATAAAGCGCTTAAGCTCATACACATGGGGATTTAAAGCAAAATACACAAATTAATTAATATTTAACAATAAAATTAACTTAAACGAGAAAAATATAACAAAATTATTCTCACCAAAGAATTCAACAAAGTGTCAATAAGTTCGCGGCTAGAGAAGGTTCAGAAAGGAGTTGAACTTTGAAGCATGAAGCCACATATTTTCTTTATTGTTTTTGGTATTGTTAAGGGATAAATTTCAGGGTGAATAAAGATGCAAATAATAGATAATATATAAGGTTTGTGCTTTTTTATTAATAACGTTAATGTCAACCCCAAAAAATGGTCGTATGACGTGGCCAACAGAAAATTAAAGATTCAAGTCCTTGTAGATCGAATCGCAATATACTCGAATCTAACTACTAGCTAGATTGATGAATCAATGTAGAGAATGATCCATAGCATTTTATAAGTTGTCATAATTGCTTGGCGCATCAAAAAGAGGGTCGGCTGTTGAGTGTAGCAGAGAATCAAGGTTTACTTTTAATGTACAAACTGACATCCCTCCCTTAACGTGTGGGGTGTAGGCTTTTTATATCCCATGTTGAGTAAATGTGGTTCGTCCAATGGTAAAAGATCTAATGGTTCTTATTAGAGTCAATCAATCAATCAAGCCATTAATGCTTAGATCCACTTCTCTTTCCCCGACATGGGATTTGACTGCGTAGGTGTGTAGAGATGACACTGGCAGGGTATTGTCTTGTCAGTCATTTCACTAAGTCTGATGTTAGTTGACTTACCGCTTCTGCCAACGGGGATCGGACAAGCGATGCATTGGGATCGCTTCGGTACACACAGGGTCGGATCACTTGCTTGCTATGCTACCTGTGGGCTCATCCGATTGCCACGTAGAATTTATTTCATGGTTATTTATATGAGTAACAGTTAACATTTTAAAGATAGAACATCATTAAGCTCAAACGAGTATTCAATTCGATTAAGACTTAAACGAGCACGTGAATTTCAAGATTGGAGTTTTAAAACAAGCCGATATCTTACAAGGACATATTAAAGGATAAGTTACACGTTGAATAAACATGTAAATAAGTTATACAGATGCATACATTTTGAGTTGGGAGGCACAAGCAAATGTGTGAAAAAGTTATTGTCAGTTTGACAATCACAATGTTGAAGTCGATCGATAGTTCGATCGATCCTTGCTACTATATAAAATCTTGTTGCTCCTTAAAAAATTATTATACCACTGTAACTTGAAATGAGCAAAATTTGCAACCCAATTTTGTAACACTCTGAAAAATTTTGAAGTCATATGCCATGTAAAATTTCCTAATAAAATGATGTAAATTATAGTGATAATTTCTCGCGCAAAAATAATAAACGTTAATAAAATAATTTTAAAATTTTAAAGAAAATACGGGTTAGATGTTTCTTTTTAAGACGTGCGTTTGACGCACATCTAACTATTTTTTATATTCGTTTGGACCATTTGATA